ATCATCTGTTCTGCTGTTATTAGAGCAGTCCTGGAAATTAATAGCCACACCTTGTTTATATAATAGTCCCCTTTAGTTTTTTTTTAAATTTATTTATTATATTTTCATTGTACTGCATTGCTTTTTGCAACCTTCAGATGGCAATATCAGTACAGATTTTTTGTCCCGAGCTAAAATTCTACTGCTGAAGGAAAACGAACTGAGTAGCGCAAAGTCATCAGAGAAGGAGCACAGAAGGCCATCTGACAATGATTATCCCTGAACTCTGAGAAGTAGGGAGCAGAATTTCTTTGGCTGATGTTTTGGTCAGAGCCATGTTTTTGAGACACTGGAACTCTGACTTATTTCTCGGCCCCCAACTTCAAAGTATTAATACATTATCACAGAGAATTTTCAAAGAAGCACAGAAATATGAAAAGCCAATCATAAACTAAATGTACAATGTAAAGTTTGAAAACTCAGCTTTGTCTTAGTTAAAACATAATAAATTGTACCAAATATAATGGCACACAATGAATGCAATGAGTTATATGGAATAACATAACTGCATGCAGCTTTGGAAATATTCACCCATTATCTCACATTTCAAAAGGAAGGAAATTCTCTTTGCTCATGTAAAATAGTTCATTAATTAATGCTGTATCTGGATAGCATGCAGGGTTGAATCAGAGAAGGCACGATAGCATGCAACTGGCATATATGTTTAAAGTAATCACAAAAGATTTTGCTATATGAATAAATTAAAAATAATGACTCCTGTTTCACAACTTAAAATTTATACATATGCGCTGCATTCACACATGCTGTAAGACAAAACCCTTGCATGGTGCAAATTCAAATCCTGAATCACTGATATAAGGTCTTGTACATCTCTGGAACTATGATGATTTCCTAAATCACATATTATGCATTGGTGCTTCATAATTCATAATAATTCATAAAATTCTCTTCAGTTCATATCATCAGTCAAATGGGACACTCCTGTTCTTTAACACACTTTTTTTAAAAAAATGTTGCAAGGACTTGGAAATGACACAAAGTGCTATGACCATAAACTTGCTTAAATATTTAGTAAATTTCCACTGTACATTTATATAAACAAATATGGAACTGCATATTCATACATTGTTCAATAAATAATGTTTTCACACATTGCTAACCACAAAATATCTTGCTCAGAATACCTAAGTATAATGTAAAGAAATCGTGATGCAATTACATAAAACTACAATTCAGTAGTGGTGACAGAGGTATAACTATATCAAATATCACATTGCATATATTACACATACATGTTCCATGCACTACTCTCTATAACTCTGGACTTCATCATAATAAACATAACACTTGAAATCATAACATGTAAATTTATATTACTCAAATTAGCATTATCGTCATGCAAATTTAAAAATTACTTTTCCTACTAGCCTCTTAGTTTCTAGGTTTAGAAACTTTACAGTCAATGTTGACCATAATAACCACTTCTTACAGTGAGTATTTAAGAGTCCTCAACTGGCAAGCATACACTAAATCCATTTTCATTATAGTGACCACTCTTTATAATATCTTTTTTCTTTAAAATGTGAAGGGTTGTTATCAAAGCATTATGCTTAAATCTCTTCCTTTCATTAAATTCATTATTTTGATAAACAAAATTTAATTAAATCTATCAAACGTGAAATATTAGTATTAGAAGTTTACTCTTGCAAAATGAAATATATATCCTATTAAAATCCATGCCTTTCTTATGTTGTGTTTAAAAAACTCTTGAATAATTAACTTGAAAATACCAAACATTATTTTTTTATTTTTTAACAGCCATTTGATTTTATTTATTACATGAAAACAGATTAAACAGATTAAACAGAAACAAACAGATAATTAATATGTATACTTGTTCATATTATTAACATAATTAATTCAGCTGACATTCAGATGAAAAGGAATCCGATGGAGTGTCTTGGTTGTTAATTTTACTCCCGATCCAAATAAAACATCTCCATGTTGAGAAGCACTGTATTAATTTCACAAATTTCTATAATTAATATTTCAACCATAGCTACCATTGCATAACATATACCAGACATCAAAACACATTACTGAAGTTCACTTCCCATGTCTACAACTTATTTCTAAGATGCCAACCTGACAAATCCGTATTTATTACTTGCCCTATTATTATCAACTCATACTTGAAAATGACTCATACAATGATACCACAACATTTTTTAAACATTCATTATTGAATACCAAACACAACCCATTTTTAGCTACTAGAATGAAGTTCAATTAAAACACAAATAATGAAACAAAGACTATTGATTTTTAATATATTAATTACATCACTGGAGAAAATTTTTCTTCGAAAATTAAATTTTATGGCTTTAAAATCTGGCAACATCCAGTTTAGTTAATTCTGAATACATTTTTGCTAAGGAAACACCAGGAACTACTGCATTAAAATAGAATGATTTTGTAGTTCTTTTTAAATGCTATTACTATATTTCGTTTCAAGAGAATTTACTTTTCTTATTTAAAAAAACATAGTTATCTTGATATCTATTCTACATACATTATTTCACATTTTTGCCAGTTGAATGTATAATTTAGAATGCACAAAGTTTTAGTTAATAAAATAATCAGTTATAATTCAGTTTATGAAAGGGAAATTTAATGTCAATTTTTAATGCAAATATTAGCTAAAATACACTTTTTGCTATGATAAAGTTTATATTCATTGGTACATACAGTGCTGATTATTTTTAATAAACTGAATTTTATTGAATACATTAAATAAAAAAGACAAATTTCTGGAGTTAAGACTGAATTCTAATTAATTTGATTTAATAAGGATGTAGTTTGTTATAGCAAGAAAGTCAGCTTACGATTAAGAAGGTTTTTAAAATTTAAAATATAACAAATTCAGAACAAAGCTCGGTATTCTGAATGCATACAGTATGAATTTTAACACATTATCACTCTTTGCTATCATTTTGATGAAAACTCCAGAAACAAATTTCACTATTTATTCTTCATCCAAAAGGCTTTACAAACCAACTGCCATATTTACCCTTTTCTACTTTGTACACTAATTTCATAAGATAATTTAGACAGCAATCCTTTTAAGAGCTTCAAACTTTTTTTAAAGTTGTTTAATACTGAAATACACTTCCTTTGCTTGGTGTCAATTATAGTTATCAGACATCATCCTAAAAAAATCTAATATGTCTAACAATATATATTATACTTATAAATTCAAGCAATGAAAATAACTACATAAATAAAAAGTTGGTTTTGACTTGATATATTAAGTTAAAAGGTGTTATTATTTTTCCATTATTTGCTTTCGGAAATCTTTTCAATCACGCATTTATTCAATGGCTGAAATTAACAGTTTTTTTTCTTTTACTAATTATGATGCAGGAAGTATCTATATATAATATATTCCAGCATATAACATGCACCAGTATATAACACCCGCATGTATAATTTCAGACTACAATTTATTCATTTTTAAGTATATTCTCTGCATAATGCACATCCTTTTCTTTATGAAGAAACCTGAAAGATAACTGTGTGATGCTCTTATCTTCTGAAGTCATTGATTCAAAGATTTTTCCCAGGCTTTTGACTACTGAACTGGCAAGCACTAAAGGGAACAGTACATATGTATGTAGGGGAAATATTTAAGGAAGTAAATAAGAGTGTGGGTTGTATTCAATGTGGATGTGCAGAAAAATGTTATTCAAGGGTTTTGAGAAAAGGGGATGGAATTTGGGGTAAGAATGCCTTTCTGACCTGAATGAATTTGAGGAATAAGGAACCAGATGTTTCTCTTTCCATTTGAAGCCATGATTTTGAAATGAACATCGAAGGTTTAGTAAATCAAATTTGCTTTAGTTGAAATACAGTTGATTTAGTGTTGCTTTTAGCAGCAAATATCCCTCCTGCCAAATGAAACTGCACAGCACTAGTTTAAAATACAAAGTCATTCTGTTTACAAAAGAAAATGGAAATCGTGCTGCAGCAAGGATGTTTGGCATTGGTGAAAAATTGAATGGATGATAATTATTTATTTATGGATCAAAGTAACAATGATGAAGATGAAACAGAATGCAAAAATGTGCCTGAAGATATAACGGAAGACAAATAGGACAAACTTTTCATGTTATTCAATACTGAACGTTTTTAAGTCCATAAGGTATGTGATTTCTTTTAAATAAAACAGCATTTAGGCACATGGAAAAATCTAATTTTTGTACACTTTTTTTTTCTTATTTTTAACCTCTTATATTTCTATCCAGAATATAGCATGCACCTGTAAATTTCAATATTATTTTTTGTAATTAAGACACAATAACACGCCGAATAAATACTAATTCAGAAGTCAAACAACAAAAATCAGCGTTATATTTTCAAAATTTTCGCAGGACTAGTTTCGATGGTTTTTACTGAACCACCATCCTCATTTGCCGTTTTGCAGCTGAGGATCGTGGTTTGGTAAAAACCATCGAAACTAGTCCTGCGAAAATTTTGAAAATATAACGCTGATTTTTGCTGTTTGACTTCTGAATTATTATTTTTTGTATTAGAAGTGCGAGTTATACGCCAGAATATATGGTATATAATAATGACATAAACAATAATAATTTAGCATTTGGTTGTTTTATCTCTCATATTAATCATCACATCTTCACTGATGTTACTTCGAATGTTCAAATTCTCCCCATTCCAGATGCTTTATTTTCTTAAACAGAGTTTTATTATTAAGCTTATCTTAAACAGAACTTTGTTATCTTAGTTTATTATCTCTGAACTTTATTAGCTTATTATTTAACCCCTGGCTTTATTATATTAAACAGAGACTATAGCAGTTCTAATTTTTGAAAAATTTAAAATCATGATTATAATCTATCATACTGCATTAACAATTTCTAAATTCAAATACTAGACAGTAAAATATTAAACTTCTTCTTTCATACATTAATAAAATTACTCACTGTGTCCAAACAAATCTGAGAACCTCGACCTAAAGCAATATCAGATAACAATTCAACAGCAAGACTAGACGCAGAATCTCCAGTAAATAAAGAACTGTAGCCACTACGACTAGCTATTTCTGTCATTAGCAATAACCTAAATTAGATGCATCCTGTTAGAACTTATGAAGAATCACATTGTAACTTGATTATATATGAAACAAATGCATGGAAAACATGTATGAAATGAGAAAAATGTAAAATAGAAAACTCATCTAAAAATGTTTTTGTTATAATTATCTACAAAGAAAACAATTTACAATACCTATTTCTATTTTATATACTAAGTTGGTTTTAGATTATTTATGTTTTGTTAATTTTAAAACTTGATCTGCATAAATAAATAATCAGTAAAAACAAGTTTAAGATATTTCTGTAATCATACAAATAATTATAAGCTCTGATACCTTATCAAAAAAATCTCAAAGCTCTAGCAATTCATAACTTTGAAACAAAGCAGCACATGAGTAAAGAAATAAATTGACGATCAAAAATTTCGGTTTGAATTGTACTTAGCAGTCAAAAATATCAAAGCTGAAAGCTCTAAAAATTTGAAACTTCGCAGATGACTCATGATCCATATGGGCTTTTACAAAATATCATCTAAGAATTCAGAACTGTTATGGATTTAATTATTTCTATAAATTTCAAACTACAGTTTTTGTTAATTTTCTCTCACTTTTTCCATTTGAGGGTCTTTATGCAACTGTCCATATTTTTAACCATATTTTAACCATATTTTAACCACTGAAATCTACGAAGATATGGGTAGATGTGTTTTGGGCCTCAGATGTTATTTTCCATATCTAGTAAATGTAACACAAAGCAAGAAATGATTATTATTGAAATTGCTGTATCTTCAATTATTAACTTCTTAGTTATTTTAATAATTATTAATATGGCTGAGGCATATTTTACTAAAATAATTTAAAATTTATACCACAAAATTTCAAATGAACAAGAAACATTACAAAAATAAAAAACTTAAAAGCTTAGTGTTAAAAGCTACCTAAAAATACAAATATTCAATTTTACAATAATTAAAGAATTCAGGATTCTATCACTGCTATCACAGTATCAGTTCCTACAGATATAAAAGGTTTGGTTTGGTTTGGTTTATTAATTATGGCAAAACACACTAGAGCTATCTTCCTAAGGGGAGGAATGCCTTCGTGGAGGACTTTCTAAGGGAAACTGGCTCGTATACACGTTACACATGGGGAAAACCATGAAAACGTCCATGCAGCCAGCCCGTTTGCAGGATTTGAACCTCGGACCGAACTACCAGTGTTCAGCGACTTTACCGCTCGGCCGCTGGTGGGCTCAGATATAAAAGGAGACTAGCAAGTTCATTAATCCAGCTAACAGAAAGCACAGAAATATGAAGACAATATAATTTATATAATATTGAATGTTATGAAGTAATTGGATGTTATCACTATGGAAAATATGTTCACAAAATTTCTTCAGTATGCTGTTTATTCGATCATAAATGGTATTATAATGAAGTGGAAATGTGCGGGAGTTAAGACTGTGCAACCACAACCTATTGACCATTTAATCAGACTATAGATTTTTTTAAAAGGATCTGAAACCATGGGATCAGTAGTAAACACTTATATCAATTGCAAGATGTGTTTGCATGTAACACTACCATAACAATTCTATCAAAACTTCAAATTTTAGGTTTCCACGGTTGAGCAGGTAGATATAAACTGAACATTAATACAAACAATGACATATACTGTAAAACTAGATGGCATAGGTCATGACAACATGTAGTGAGATTCATTGCTCAGTAACACACTAGCAATCTGAAAGGCACATGCTAGATGAACAGTGCTTAACTAACAGAACAATACTTTCCTAAACTGAAGTTTGTCATTAAGAGCGTAATGATTTGAGATCATTTCCCAAGATTCATATTGAGTTCCCAGGTTATTATAAAGGTAATTATGGCTATCTTAGACACTGTACAGCCTATACTGTAGTCACAGTTTGACATGGTCAGACAAAGAAATTTACAAAGAAATTTCTAATCTACAGTATAGTTAACATAGCAATTTTATTTTTTATTCATGAGAATACTTGGCTGATGAATTAATTGTAATATACAATTGAACAATATTGATGAATTAATTGATTACTTGTAATATTACATATATGAATATTAATCATTCATCATATGCAACAAGGTATCAATTTTGCGACTAGTGGAAACAAACAAATTAAATATGAATCTGAGCTTTCCATTTTGAGTATATGGACCATTTATGAGAAACAAACTATTAATTCAAAAGAGTTGAAAATAAAATTCGATTCTTTTTTAACAATAAACTTATTGATTCATACAAATATTTTTTAAAATAATAATAATAACAATCATGTTTATTTACAGAAAAATATTTAGAAAAAAAAAAGTTTAGAATACCTAATATGAATAAAACAAGCTTACACTTTACAGAGTATAAATTTTATAAATTATAACTTTAACTTTATAACTTTTAACTTTTATAAAAATAAAATGGATAAATAGCTACAAAAGCATCAGACATTTTGCCTTGCTTTACATATACATCTGGCAAATGACATCTAAGTTTTAGACTAACAGAGCTACTCAGAGAACAGGAAATGAAAAAGTCATTGCAAATGTAAATCATCAACTTTTTACTGCGGAAATTTACCAGTTAGAAAGTTGCGAAAGAATATGTTGAATATTAAGATACTACTTGACATTAATTACAGAGGGGAATAAAAACATTAATACTGGGAGAGAAAGTAAACTAAATGCAATAGAAAACTTTGCACATAAAGACTGGAACACACAAATACTTTCATTACTAGCTACGTTAATAACATTAATCATTACTTACATGGACTAAAACGGAACAATAATACTAAAAGTGATTGATTTGTTGATGAATCCCATTGAAAAACCAATTAAGAAGCCCTTCAAATTAATTAAATTCTGCATTAAAAACTTCAACAAAATTCAAACCTTTCACACCAACTACGTTGGAATTTCAGAATATAATTTTATTAACTTAGTGGGATAAATATGTTCTACACAATATAGTAAATTTATGCCCATTCCATGTGTGGCTGTTAAAAGTATTATAAAAATATGAATTCATAGAATCTATTAAGAAACTTTTATTGCTTGAATTAAGATTCACATGAAAAAAATTATTTAAGTATTACAATAGGGCACCCAATAATACACCTGGAAGTAAAAGTTCTTCCTAAAATTTACAGACAATATATATATATATATATATATATATACATACCAAGTTGCTGATGATTTCTGTGCATCTGAAAATGTGAGTTTTTGCTGTTTTATTTCTCATGTAGCCATGAATATAAAAATGAGAAAACAGCACACAATCAAGTGCCATGATTATACTGTCAACAGCATGAAAACTGGAAATGCAGAATGTTAAAATAACCTCCAAAAACTACAACAATAACAACAACAACAACAACAACAACAAAAAATTGCTCCAGAATTTTAAAGATAAATAAATCTACTGTTTGAATGTCTCCCAAACATTAAGAAAACACTAGCTAACTCACACTTGGGTGCTATAGCAGTAGATCACAAAAGATTGTATTTCAGAGAAGACTCTATTTAGTGCTGCCTTATCATGAGATACCAATCAAGTACTTTCATGGAAGCTACAGTATATTGAGCATATAAGACTTGTAACAGGCTACATGATAACAGCTATATCTCATTCAAAATTAAGCCAGTATAACCCTTGTAAACTAATAAAATGAAACAAAAGTTTTGCATGGATCAACAATCCCTTTTCCTAGATGGTAACTGAAAGGTAAAGAATCAGTTGTTCTTCCCAAACATATAAAGAAATATGAGATAAAAATAAAGGGATAAATTGTTTGCCGACCAAATAAAAGATTTATTCAAATCTTGGGATTTGTACACATCTCTGATCATTAAAAGTGAGTAATTTTATGACCATCAATGAAAATAATTAAGAACCTATCAGCAAATGGGAATTGAATAAATTAAAACGGCTGATCTTTGGAATATGGTAACAGGTAGTTTGGCGACATTTTGGAGGCGATAAAGGTTACTACGTAGGACTTTCATAATAATGTGAGAAGTACTCAGTTCCGATTACGCATTATTTTGTATGAGGGAAATGAGAGATCATGAGATATGTCATGTGACATTAATGGACGAATTATAGTTCTTTAATCGGAAAAGGGAGTAAAAATTTGGAAAAACATCTGTAGTACTATATTATTTTGCAGTATTAAGCTTCACTTGTGTGTTGTGTGAAATAGTGTTGATTAATTTTTGGATTGCATGGCGCTATCTAAAGTGAATTGTAAATTTTTAATGCGTTCATCTGATAATTCAAAAGAATTGGTTGAATGGTGTATGAGTGTAGGTTTAATTGCGGATAAGTATGAATGTCCAAAATGTGGGAATGAAATGAGATTGTGTGAAAGGAAGGATATTACAGATAAGTTTGAATGGCAGTGCAAGAAATCTGGTAAAAATGGACATTTTGTGAATGTCCAAAAGGAAATGTTTGTGAATGTACAAAAGGAAAAAAACACTAGAGGTCCTTTATGTAATTGTAATGAAAAGCATCCTAGTCACACGTATGCCATTCCTTGTATTTATACTGCAGGAGATATTATGGTAGTTAGTACAAACTAATTGTCATGCCAAACTAATTACGAGGCGTGGTTGTCTCAGATGTGGATTTCCACAAACTTCAGGTAGTACACAATGAAACTGAGAAGAATTGTAAATGCTCACTACGTGATTAGAAATAAAGTGATCCATGATGATTGAAAATCGACTTTATTGTGGACCATATTTCTAAGTACAGGGTTGCCACGCTACCTGGAAAACCGGAAAAAGCCAGGGAATTTGAAAATTGACCAAAAAAAGAAGGGAATTTAAATATTTTAGTCAAAAGTTGAAGAAGTCTGGGAATGACATACTGCGATCCCGAAAAAAAGTTTTATGCCAATGTTGGAAGTGAATCACATTGTTGGCGAATTATGTATCGGATGAGCATTATTCAGGCAGCTGGTGCAAAGACGTTTCTTTGACTGGCCGTAGAGCTAATTTTTGCAGCTCCAATCAGATTGTCTTTTAGAAAGGCAAAGCAAGTTTCGGTTAATCTTTGGATTATGGTAACTTCGGTGATTTTTGGCGCAAATTTGGCAACCAACCCTGCTACAGCAACTTCCTAATTCTTTTTTCGGCGCCATTTTGTCTTCACAAAGTAAAGACATGTTTCTTTTTTTTTTTATTTACTCAACATTTTTTTTGAACAATCTGCTAGCCAAATTATGCTTATGCTAGAAATTTTATGGAACAAAAGTTCTTAATCCTGACGAATATTAAATTGGGAGAAAGTGAAGAATCGCAAACTCCTTACCGCATTTTTAAGAATTGCACATACACGTAGACCTATTTTCACTTAAAAAAACATCCCAGAATTGCACAAAATGACATTGCGCACACTCTTGACTTTATCCATGTACACTTCTTTTTTCTCATAAATTAGAAAAATTTGCACAAAAATGCAGGAAAATTTTGTGAATCTTTAAAGTCGGTAAAAAGGACATATATGAAATTACCTGATTGCGAAAAAGTATATACCCTTTCCAAGGATAAATATTTGCACGTATAAAATAAATAAATATCCAAAAACTTTTCCCTCTAAATTATCCATTATAAACATCACCTGCGAATTTATAAGGCAAACATTAAAAATAATTGCAAATACTTAGTGTGAAAATATTTAACTTATTTCCATGTTTGTTTACTTCTACTGAAATGTATTCCAAAATGCTACAAACGCATAATTCACAAAATCACTATCATTTAATTAAAATATAATTAAATTAAAAAACACTAGTTAAAATATAAACAAACACATTAAATTAATAAAAATTAGCTTAAAATCTTATTTAGTTTAAACTAATTTATTGCTAATAAAAATTTTTGGCTGATCTTTAGAATATGGTAACTGGTTGTTTGGCGACATTTTGGAGGCGATAAAGGTTACTACCTGGGACTTTGGTAATAATGTGAGCAGTACTCAGTTCCGATTACGCATTTTTTGTTTGAGGGAAATGAGAGATCACGGGATATGTCATGTGATATTAATGGATGAATTACGGTTCTTTAATCGAAAAAGGGGGGAAATCGGGAAATTTTGTATTTGGCTTTATTCTGTGTTGTGTGAAACAGTATTTGTTAATTTTGGGATCCCATTGCCCTAACTAAAGTGAATTCGAAATGGGTATTTAGTGGGATTGAAAGGGGTAGTAATAAGTGTTTCTTTAAGGTTGTGCGAGATAGAAGTAAAGATGTTTTATTAAGTTATTTATTTTACCCGGTACCTTGCTGTGAACTATAAGTATGATTTTAAAGATCCTGAAACAGAAATAAGAAAAGTTTATCGGACACGTAATCAAGATTCTGAAGAAGATTAGGTAAGTTAGTATTTTTAATTATTTGAGGATATTATTTTTATGCATTGTTGTAAATGTAAGGTGGAAGTAAAGTAATTTGGTATTACTGGGAAAATTGTTATTAGCAATGATTTAGTTTAAAAGTAATTAGGATTGTAATCTAATTTTATTAATTTAATGTATGTGCTTATTTATATTTTAAGTACTGTTTTTTAATTTAATTATATTTTAATTTAATGATCTTGATTTTGTGAGTTATATGTTTGTAGTATTTTCTAATACGTTTGAGTAGTATACGTTGAGTAATTTCATGCATTTTCGTGAAATTTTTCTAATTTATGAGAAAAAAGCAGTGTACATGGATATAGTGAAGAGTGTGTGCAATGCCATTTTTGTGCAATTCTGGGATGTTTTTTTTAAGTCGACATGTACATGGTTTAGTTATATTTTAATTAAATGATAGTTATTTTGTGAATTTTATGTTTGTAGCAATTTGGTATACGTTTCAGTTGAAGTAAACGTGTATGGAAATAATTTCAATATTTGACACTAAGTATTTGTAACTATTTTTAATGTTTGCGGTATAAATTCGTTGGTGACGTTTATAATATAATAGATAATTTAGAGGTAAAAGTTTTTGGTATTTTATTTATTTTATACGTGGAAATGTTCATCCTTGGAAAGGGCATATACTTTTTCGCGATCAGGTAATTTCATATATGTGCTTTTTACCGAGTTTAAAGATTCACAAAATTTTCCTGCATTTTCGTGCAAATTTTTGTAATTTATGAGAAAATAGCAGTGTATTTGTAATTTATGAGAAAATAGCAGTGTAGATGGATAAAGTTAAGAGTGTGTGCAATGCCATTTTTGTGCAATTCTGGGATGTTTTTTTAAGTAAAAATAAGTCGACGTGTAAATGGTTTATGTGTATGTGCTATTCTGAAAAACGCGCAAGGAGTTTGCGATTGTGCACTTTTTCCCAATTTTGCAGTTAATATTTGTCATGATTAAGCAGTTTTGTTACATAAAATTTCTAGCATAAGTGTAATTCGGCTAGTAGATTGTTGGAAAAAGTATTGAGTAAAGAAAAAGAAAAGAAACATGTCTTTACTTTGTGAAGACAAAATGGCAGCGAAAAGAAATAGAGGGTTGCTGTAGCAGAGTTGTTCGCCAAATTTTCGCCAAAAAATCGCCAAGTTACCATAATCCAAAGATCACAACCATTAAAACAATTATCTATGCCCAAATTTTGCTTCTATTATGATATTCTAAGATTAAAAAATTCTCTAAATAGAATGCATTATTACTAAACAAAAACCTAATATTTAACAGTTATAAATATACTGTTTGCCAAATGATTCTTTTGATTACAATTGTTAGATTTACTGATGATTATAAGTTTATCACCAATTTCGAACTGTAATGCCTAACCTAAAAATGGGCTAACAGTACCAAATCAAGAAACCACTATGATTATGTTACCATGCAAACATTACTACATCTCACTCTATTTGCCTGAATGGTATTGTCTGAAAACGCATGATTGAAATGACTTCTTCTTGAAAGTGTCATTATACTATATTACTATAACAGCTAAACAGAAATGTGGAAAAGTAACACGGTCACTGCCTTAACATGAATTTTACTAGGTTCATGGTTATTTTCAGGCAAAATATAGCTTTTTTTTTTTTTGTTTTTTAAGTCCAGAGCAACAATTTGCCCTGAAGGACTATTAATTTCGTTTTGGCATTTTGCATTGAAAACTATAAACAGTGAATCACTTTTTAAATTGTTGCCACCAAATATTATCGCCCTGTATTATATTTAAAGAAATTAAAATAATGAAGAATCTGCATGAATGTATGCATGTTTCTCACATTGTGAAAAAACAACGGTACCTAGAGCCATCAGATTTTGAATAAAGCGTAGTCTTTCCACCCGAATATTAGTACTGTGGAAGCCCGAATTTTAAATTTTAATTTGTTTTATTATCGATTTCATATTTTGTAACACTTCAATGAATTTTTGATTAAAAAACTAAACGATTTCAAAGCAAGCAATGGCAACACTGTACAAAAAAAATTTTTTTTTTTTTCTTACTCCTAGCGCGTGAGACTCTGTATCAGAAATTCTAAAGATATGTTCATTTTCAAATTATTTTGCAATATTGCTGTTTGACTGAATTTTATGGTTTGCATACGTAGAACATGATATTTAATAAATAAAGGAAACACACAAAACATTAAAAAAATGCCCCTTTGGACGTAATTTAAAATCTGAAACCTTTCAGAACGTTTTTTTAGGGGGGGGGTTACCTAAGAAGAAATAATTAAAAAATTATGTTTTCTTTAAATAAATGAAAAAAAGAAATATTACCGTTTTGGCTGCTTAATTTTGTTTACTGAAAACAAAATTTAAGCTTTATCATCACCTGCTGTGTTTTTATAAACTATTAAAAATACTAAAATTACATAAAAAAAACCATAATTTTTTTAACAAATATTAACGAATTTTTCTCAAAGAAAGAATTTCAGGGAAATGTTCTTAAACAGAAATATACAGGCTTCGAGAGGCTATAATTTATTATCATAACATGTAGACCAAGAAAAAATAAATCATTTTTAAAATAAGCTAAAAAAAATCCTTTAAAAAATAAACTAGTAAAAATGAGACTTTAAAAAAAAAACTAAGACATTTTAAAAACACATAACACATATATGTAAAGTGTTATAATATAAACATGTTTAAACTACAAAAAAATTAACTAGAACTATTAATAAACTATATATATATTAATTTTATATAAATATATAAAATATATTTTATATACATATAAATTATTTAAAACTATTTTCAGCATGCACACAGTCAGTAAATTAACCCAACATTATTTTCCCAGTAACTAAAAACAGATTTTAGATACAAACCTTAAATGCTTAATTAAATCTATTTTTGAGGACAGTGGTACATTAGTAAAACATTCTTCCATCCATTTTCTCGATCTGAAGCAAAAACAGTCCTCTTCAGAAAATTTTTCAAGAGGCCAATAAAAATCTTCATTTTCATTTAATCGATACACCTAAAAATATAAAACAGATAGCTGCTATGTAAAAGAAGATACTAATCACCACATCATAATGCATATCTTAAATTTTATGCTATTAGTCTATCAATCTAAAATAGGTTTGAGAATAAAAACATAACCATACACAGAATCAATACTTCTGTTGTGAAAAGAAAAAATAATGTTATTAAATGCAAAGAAAAAATTAACGCTGTTGATCAATTTTAAATGGATCTATGTCTTCTAATACTCTAAGAACCAAATGATTTCATATTCCTATACAGGACATGTATGTGACACTTTTTGAATATATTTTGAATACTTTTTGAAAAATTTGTCAAAGGTAAAAATATGTCATATATGAAGTTACATACATAAATTTATATGTATCAATGAACATTGGCACACTAATAGTATTATACATACACACACACACACACACATATATATATAGAGAGAGAGAGAGAGAAAGAGATTCATGATATGTACAAACTTTTGAGAGGGGTAGGTTACTCAATGACAAACTGAGATCAGATATCAAGATCAAGATCAATGCAAGGTCAAAAACACCATTATCAGGTGCAAGTGTGCAGAGTCCATAAGAATGAAATAACAAATAAGGGAAGAACATTACTTTGTTCAACAAATTGTAACAATTGTGATATTAAGGAATGTTACAGAAGTTGTATGAAATTTTAGCAATAAGTTGCAACACAAGCCTAACACTGGTGGCACATGGAAATGTGGGCTATTCCAGTCACCTCAGGCTTCAGAAGCATGTGACAAAATACTCTTCATAGTACACCAGACTTTTCATGCAACTCTAGGGGGAAAAAGTCTAAAAAGGAGAGGTCTGATGATCATGCAGGACACTGAATGAAACAAACATGCCTGTTCCATTTCTATTTAAATGTCTCATTTTAAGCAATTCGGAAGGCTATGGCTTAATGGGGTGGGGCCCTATAATGTTATTACCACATATTTATTGTACAATTGCAGAATCTGTTGGTAATTTAACAGTTCAGGCAAAACATCCTTTAAAAAAAAAAAAAAAAAAAAAAACTTTACCCCTGTTTAAAGATATGGGTGTATTAGTGGTCACTGCCCCCCGTAATGCCGGACTAAATACAAAGTACAAATCGATGATGGGCTCCACATGTTCATACAGTGTGGGGATTCTCCATTGTTCATACATTAAAGTTATGTACATTGTAGTAACCATCCCTCATGAAGTATGCCTCATCTATGAATAAAGGTTACATACAGAAGTTCGAAAAAGGGGATTAACCACTCTCTTCTGCAGATACCACTCAGAAAAAGCAACTCTTAGTGGGTAATTATAGGGCTGCAGTAGCTGCACATGCAGCTCATGATATGAGTACAACTTCAAAATCATCCAGATGGTGGTTTTAGAAAGACCGAAGTGAGTAGTTGTAGCTTCATGTATTGGCATATGTAGTATTTTCTGCATACCTTATCTGATTTCAGGGATCCATGAAATTTGTATCTGATTCAAGGCATGTCCCTCAAAGATACCATTTTACATAATCTTGCAACCATGCAAACATTTGAGGGGTCAGAATATGTCTCACTGAGTAGCAGTTCTAGTACAGATAAACAGCAGTTTGCCTGTTACACTCAGCAACTGCATATGCCACATGAATATCTATTAATTCCATATGTGTGAAACTTTTCCTCTTACTACCTCTCCAGTTGGTTGCTGAATGAATAGTTTTTCTGCATAGACATTTTACTGCTTCCCCAACAGCTTCCTTTATTGCATTACAATCTGATTCATATATTTATACGAGTATATCAAAAGTTGTATAAAATAACAGAAATGCCTTGAAATTAGAGGATTAACAAATAGCATCGTGTAACATAACATGAGCTATGGTATTTAAAAACGTTCATACCATCTTTGTAACCCACCAGTATTCTAAATGTACACACATGGATACTGGCATAATATGTTACACAATACTTCATACAAAAACTGCTACAATTCCTTGAGAGATTCAGGAAAAGAAAGACAGATCTCCTCCTATCTTTCAACGTGAACCAGAGAGTTAAATGAGGTTTAAATTAGATGGCACTTGAGAGGGCTATGTTTCTTTATCATCATGCTTTTTATACCATAAATCAGCATTCCCAATTTTATGAATTGAAGAATCATTCCTTTGAAAAGAGGCAAAAATGTGTCAGTGCGTATGGGAAAATACCTATGCCATGATTGTCCAAAATGGTTGGTTAAACAGCCAGAGATAATGACAGTCTGAATTATAAACTCCTATTGATGTTCTCGATATGTAAAGGATCATGGGATAGAAAATAGAGTGAAGACTGATTCTTGGAACTCATACATTTTACGCTGATCATCTTCCATGTCTTAGTTTCCTACTACCATTGCAGACTTCATTTTGCATTTATCTACAACACATGGAATTTTATATGTTTTTCTTATCCTGTTCCATTCACACTATATACAAATAGATCCATTCACACAAATAGATAATTTTGCTCTTTTTTCCTGCAATCAGAAGAAGAAGAAAAACACTGGTATTGGTTTTCTTTGGTTTATTCAATTATGGCAAAGCACTCAACGGCTTTTTGCCTAAAGGGAGCGATGTTTTCATTGAAGACGCAATGGAAACTGGTTCACAACCACATTACTTCATAAAAATGCTCTTGCAGCCAAAATTTGTTTAGAATCGAACTCAGGACAAATTACTAGTTTCAGTAACTAGTAATAAGGAGAAATAACTAGTAATAAGGAGTAACTAGTAATAAGGAGAGTAAGTAAGTATAACTAGTAATAAGGAGAAATAACTAGTTACTAGTTTCAGTAACTAGTTATTTCAGCGCTCAGCTGCTGTTCAGCACTGTTTAAGCGTGGTATCTCCGTTGGTTTTACTATATTGTTCTATGTGCACAATAAGTATAAAAAACTTGGATTCCATGAATCCATAAACCTAACATTTTTATCTACATTTAATGCAAAAATAATTAGAATAGAAATTAAAGTTGCCTCTCATGCAAAGAAAGTTACCATATCAAGAGAAGAATAAATGACAGGGTAGTCACATGATTTTAATGTTTCCAATACAGCATATACTTCTTTTTTCTCAGCTTCTCGATCTCCAGATGAAAAAACCATTGAATCTAGAGGAAAGAAATGTAGTTGTTATAGGATTTTTACTTGAAAACATTGAACCACTGAAATCATGTTATGAACTGATTTTTTATATAAAATACAGTTGTTCATAATATTGTTACACAGAGTAATTCAGAAATGATCATTCAGTTTCAAATTTTTACAGTTTTAAAAATGAAAAAAATAGAATGATGAATATTTTAATAAAAAAATATCCAAGTTTGAATTTCTTTTCATTACTGGACAACACATGCCAAAGCTGTCTCTTGGCCGTTATTAAAATAAATCTGTTCTCATCTTTTATAACAGTGGTTCTCAATCTATTTTGCCTTTCACTATTGCTATCAGATCATTTCCCCTCTTTCTTTCCCAAACTCAAAAAATACATATGCATTTATTTAGATTTAGATAATTTTTAATGTATTTTTATCACACATACAATAAAAGTACAGAAAATGTTGATAAATACCAAAACATGAATATAAGTAGTTGTTCATATTCATAAACTTTAACACCTAAATAAACAAACTGCATTCCCCCAAACCTATAAAATCCCCCAAGGGATAATTCCTTCCTGGTTGAGAACCCATTTTAAACATTGTGTTCTTGTTTTCAAAGACAGGATTCCCAGTAAAAAGCTTTTGAAAGTCAATCTATTTTATTTTTTATTGAAATAACCAATCATGAGATATATTTCTTATGCTTAGAAGAATATATCAAAATCAAAACAAGTCCTGATGAAAGTATGTTTCTCTCTCGATATCTATCAAGGTAGCACCAGTTATCTTTTCCAGAGAAAACCATTTGGCTTGTATCATTCTAAAATGATAAAAATACCCAAAATTTAATGTATAAACATTAGATTGTTAAAACACAATAACATGCCGAATAAATACTAATTCAGAAGTCAAACAACAAAAATCAGCGTTATATTTTCAAAATTTTCACAGGACTAGTTTCGATGGTTTTACTGAGCCACCATCCTCAGCAGCAAAACCGCAAATGAACAAGATAGAAAATATTGATTAGATAAGACGATAAAGCCTGGACAAGAATAAGCAAGTAGTGCCATCTGTTGGTGAAACCAGAACTAAAACATAATTTCTTTAAAGGCCGAAGGCAAAGATGGATTGGAATTAGGATCGTTAACTAGAACAGAAAGATTTTTTTGAATGTGAAATGCCTCTAGAAAATCCAGTTCTCCAATGGAAGATGTTTTTTGAATGATGTTTCATGAAATTTCGCGTCAAGGAACATTAGGCATATGTTAGGAAAAAGGAAACACACAAGTCTTCTGTTGCTCAACATTGTTGATCCGAAAATCACACTTTCAATTTTTCTGCTGCAAAATTATTCAAAAAACATCTTCCATTGGAGAACTGGATTTTCTAGAGGCATTTCACATTGAAAAAAATCTTTCTGTTCTAGTTAACGATACTAATTCCAATCCATCTTTGCCTTCTGTCTTTAAAGAAATTATGTTTTAGTTCTGGTTTCACCAACAGATGGCGCCACTTGCTTATACTTGTCCAGGCTTTCTTATCGTATCTAATCATTATTTCCTATCTTGTTCATTTGTGGTTTTGCAGCTGAGGATAGTGGTTTGGTAAAACCATCGAAACTAGTCCTGTGAAAATTTTGAAAATATAATGCTGATTTTTGTTGTTTGACTTCTGAATTAGATTGTTGTTTAAAAAGTTCTTTTTTGAAAAAAAAGAAAAGGCTGCCCGTAAAACTTTTAGCATACTGTTATTTGCATTATATCAATTGTATGCTGTGGACCAGATGATTTGACTTTAAATTTTTCTATCTCCAGATTCTCTTCTAGCAGCTTCTTTCTTTGGAAGTTTATGAAAGACCTCGGTCTACAAGCTCTATCCATCCCCCAAAAAAGGTTTTCCTTCTGCTTTAGGGGTGAGTGAGTGAGTGAGAGATTATGGCGCAAAACCAAAGATGATTATAGTGCGCCAAACACGAGATGGGGTGAGTACAATTGATGAAATTAAAATACAATAAATAAAAACAAGTAGACAAATGTATCAAATCCAGAGGATGAAGTCATATAAAACAAGTTAAAACCACACATTTAAAATTCAAGACACAATCTTTAAAACAAATTACATTAGGTGATAAAAGCCAGTCTCTTTTAAATAATAAAATAAATTACAATTGACCTCTCTTCCGATTAAACGGTCGAGAGGTAAGTCACAGCTATTAAAATATTTCTGACGAAGACTATTAAAACATGGACACTCAATTAAAATATGACGAACAGATAAACAAACATTACAATTAAAACAAACAGGCTCATTTTCAGCTTTCACACTCTAGTGTGACCAATTCTGAGGCGAGTCAAAAGAACTTCCTCCTTTTTACGATTTCCAAAATCCCAATGCTCAATTCTAGGCTTTACATGTCTTAACTTGTTTTGAAGCTGAACATCCCAAAATTGCTGCCATTTTTTTCGGATCTTTTCCCTTGATGACACAACAGATGTCTCCAAAAGGGATGAGGCGACTGGACAGTTCAACAGCAGATTTGGCTGTGATATCTGCCAGCTCATTTCCCTTTTATTCCCACATGACCGGGAACCCAGCAGTACAGGATTTCATATCCACGACTCGTTAAGTTTATATGTATTTTGAGAAACATCCACTATGACTGGATTTTGAGTGTTGGGAAAAGCTTCTAAAGATTTAAGAGCACTATACGAGTCTGTATAAACTATAAACTTTTTGTGGCAGAGCTTTGAGATGTACAAAAGACATAATATATTGCAGTTAGTTCAGATGTTAAGACAGAGAAAGCATGGTGCAAGCGTCTGCCCTCCATGTAATCTTCAAATTACAAATGCCATCCCGACATGATCATTTGACTTTGATCCATCTGTATAATCGGATAGATAACTGCTATATTTGTGCCTGTGCTCAGCGAAGAGTTGTCTGTAAATGATCTCGTTAGTGCTTGCCTTGCCTTCACGTGATGCTTGAAAACATCAAGAAGCTGAATCCGTGACATTTTCCCAAGGTGGGAATTTCAAAATTCTGTACTGCTTGGGGGCGCATATCAGAGAGGGAAAGTTCCTCAATGACAGGGCGAACTCTTAAAGGAAAGGTAGGAACACAGGATGGACGTGTTTCAAATAATGTGTTACACACATTATCAAGTAAGCACAGCTTATTGGGATGTTCAGGTTGGGATAGAATATTAAAATATTGCAAAAGGGACAATTGCTCACGCCTCAGATAAAGTGATGGTTCGTTAGAGTCAACATATAGGCTCTGGACAGGAGAAGTCCTGAAAGCTCCTGAACAAATCCGCAGAGCTTGATGGTGAACAGGATCCAGTTTTAACAAAAACATTGACCGAGCGGATCCATAAACAACTGAGCCATAGTCCAGTCTAGAGCGGATAAGCGCTCTGTAAATGCGAAGCATGGAGCAACGCTCTGCACCCCAGGAGGTGTTCGCCAACACTTTTAAAATATTTAGTGTTTTTAGACACTTCTTTCTCAGGTTTAAAACATGAGAAAGGAAAGTCAATTTCTGGTCGAACGTCACTCCTAAAAATTTTTACTTCGGGCGCAACTGGAATAATTGTACCATTTAGATATAACTCAGGTTCAGGATGGAGACCTCGCTTCCTACAAAAGTGCACGCACACAGTTTTTCTGTTTCGAAAAAGTAAATCCCTGTTTGTCTGACCATTCTTGGATCTTATTCAGAGCCATCTGCAATTGCCTCTCTATGTATCTCATGTCTGCTCCTCGACAGCTAATCTGTAAATCATCAACATATAGTGATCCCAAGATGGTGGGAGGAAGTTCTTTTAATACAGAGTTTATTTTTAAACTGAAACAGGTTACACTAAGCACACAGCCTTGAGGCACACCCTCTTCCTGTTGAAAAACATCCGAAAAAACAGAGCCAATTCTTACTTGAAAAGTTCTAGTGTTCAAGAAATTCTGAATGAAAATTGGTAGGTTGCCGCGCAAGCCACTCTCGTGAAGATCCCGAAGTATACCGTATCTCCATGCCTTATCATAAGCTTTCTCAATGTCGAAAGAATACCGAGACAAGGTGACTTCTTCTTAGACAAAGCTTTTCGAATGGATGTCTCTAAGAGGAGCATGTTATCTACGGTTGTTCTCCCCTTTCGAAAACCGCTTTGATAAGGCGATATAATATTATTTTTCCAAGAAGTAGACTAGGCGGCTGTTTACCATCTTTTCAAACAGTTTGCAAACACAACTGGTAAGGGCAATTGGCCGATAGTTCGGAGGGATTCCTTGGGTCTTTCCCTGGCTTAGCAACAATAGGAATGACAACAGCTCTCCTCCATGCACTGGGAAATGTATGCTCCTTCCACACTCTATTGTAAAGAGTGAGAAGGGCATTCAGTGACTTATAGGACAGATGCTTTAGCATTTCATAATTCACGCCATCAAGACCCGGAGAAGACCTATGTGTCTGCAACAAAGCTCTCCTTTAATTCAACCATAGTAAAGTCTCTATTGTAAGGCTCAGATTTGGAAGAGTTGAATGCGATGGGATTTATTTCAGAGCGTTCTGCTTGATAGAAAGAAATGCAGGTGAATAGTTTCTGCTGGAAGAAACGGCAGCAAATGTCTCACCAATAGTATTTGCAATTTCTTCTATGGAGCTAATCACTCGGCCATCTTTTTCCAAAAAGGAAAGTGAGTGGTCTTTATATATTCCGCATGCTTTTTTCGAACTCTTTCCCAAACCCGCTTACTAGGCGTAGGAGGATGTTATTGAGGACACATATGAAATCCAGGAATCCCTCTGGCTCTGCCTTCTTACTTTTCGTGCATTTGCTTTGGCTCTTTTAAAGGCTATGAGGTTTCGCAGAGTAGGATATCTACGAAAAATACCCCATGCTTTTTTCTGTTTTTTCAGTGCTTCATGACAGTCGCGATTCCACCATGGTTTTGAATATTTTAGTAGTTTTTCCTGATGTTCTAGGAATCGAAAGCATAGCTGCCTGA